CCCATTGGTTCACACCAAAGTCAGCTCCCATTGGCCGAGCATCGAATGTCTTGGTGTATGTGTGTATGTGTCTGCACAAGATTAACGGTCAATAGATCATTTGGCGCATCTGCTGGAGTTAGTGTTTGAGTACATTTACCCTCTTCGTTCATCATTTACGTACCGAAGCATTTAAATCTGCCAATAGGTCTAGCGCGGTTGAAAGACGTCGCTTTGTTTCGCTGGGCATTGTGAAGAAATTTATTCTGTTTAGAACCATTTAGAATTCAGTCGCCTTGAATGCAAGGGCGGTGACATATAAGATGAGGAACTGTAAAGTCCGTGTCACAGACTATCATCCTATGAAATAGCTAAGCAAAGCAACTTTCTTCAGAAGATGGTAGTCTATAGGTATAATATTTGGCATCGAAATAGGGGAACGTTTAAAGGCGGGTAACAAATGTTCTAATAATAACTTAGAGGTTGGCGTGCTGAAAGGAGGATGGCAAAACCAAAGATAAGTCAAGTTGATATCGACTGCTTCATTTCACTAGATTGGATTCTTTCGCGAATAAATAAATAGATTCCATTGACAAGGTGGGCTGGCATTTGGGCCAGCCCAAAAGCCACATCTGTTGTCTTTGTCTCAATATTTGCATTATTAAGTGCATACTATGCCCCCTACAATCCAACAGGAAGTCTGGAGATCAAGAATGTTAATTGGTTACAGGAAATTCGCAATAAATAAAAGAAATGACATGCAGGCGCTCCTTTCACTTAATATAAATAGCGTAGTCAAGATGGCTCATGATCAAATTTTTCTTTTTCTTAATGGAAAATTGTAAATAACATTTTTTAGGCCATTCGATTTCCCATTTCTTAAGCCATTTTCTTTCCAGCATTGGTACTTCCTTCCAAAAATTTTTCAGGTCTGGGCATATCAGACAAACCTATCGACAACAGTACTAACTCTTTAAAATCTGATTTGTCCACCTTCTATTAAAACATCGCTAGAGCTAATAGGTGAAACGCGCTGGGATACCGACACATAGGACAGAAGTTTAGGTGGCATGTCAGGGCCATTTTAAAGCTAGTAACAGCAAAGTGTTGTGGTCTCAACAGTGAAAACACCTTCAAAAATGCGATTATCTACGCATTCATCTTTGGTTATAAAGGATATAGTACAATACATTTAGTTTTCGGGGTGTAGTGAGGAATTCAAAATGGTTATAGTATGAAAATGCTTTGCAAAATTGAAAGCATTAGGCAAGCAAAAAAGCTTATAAAGAGCTTAGAATTCGGTATGCAATAACAGTATGTGGAAGAACGAAGAAGTATTCAAGCAGCAACTTGGACTGCATTCATAACACTGCATGCGGTGGCTTCGTAGGCGTTTAGCTTACTCCTGAAGAGTGGTACAAATAAATTTTAGTTACCTAATAGCGTTGTACATTTAAAAGCTGCAATATTCAAGAAAATTTAGTAAATTTAGTTTTTTGTTATTTGTTGATCTTACACGTGTACAGAATAAGCCAAATTTGTGCACCTTGAGCTTGTTTTAACTATCTACATTTTTGTTTAACAAGCCCGCCATTTTTGGTAAGAGGAGGATTGTGGTTGTCGGCCCTCACGTGTGAAAATGCCAGATGTTCACAGGTATAAAGGTAATTAACTCAAGAACATAAGGCTTCCTGCTCGGTATTTTTGACAAGGAGCCGCTTTTCTAGCAGTTTAGCTCGAATTATTGGCGCGCTGTTTACTAGGCATTTACCTACGATAGCCGCTTCTGACCTTATGCTCTCTACCCTATTAACACCAAAGGGCGAGTTGCCTGTTTGTGAACAGTGTTAATGGATTCTGCCGCACTTCGCCTATTAAGGTGCCTAAGTATATCTGCAGTATCGTTTCTGGGTGCAAACATAGCAAGTTTTGTTTACTGGTCGCTTACATGTTATTCGGTTGGATTTTTTATGGCATTGGACGCTATGCTACTAATACAATCGAATTCTTCATTTGTCAGAATACATTGAACCCTACATCTTAATTTTTAAATCCGTGTTATAAGCATTTATATCCAATTTAACAGCAAACTGGACCTTTTGCCTTTGCCTGCAGTTTTCTAAAGGAAATTCTTGCACGGTCTTGCTAACATCCTTTTACCAGTTTCCATATTCACACTATATTATTTTCTTTAACCTCTGAGTGCGGTTCCTTTTAAAAACCATTTGAGGTATCACGATGCATAACACGATTTTGTATGTTGATCTGTACAATCAGATACCACATTTCGATTTGTTGCCTTTCGTACGTCAATGGATTTCTGAAATGACTTGACTCTCTTCATATGGGTAAACTTACCTCCCGGAATAGTCCTTTAAATCTTGAAAACTAATGTATTTCATCAGAGTGTTTGGGGTGGCTTCTCTTTGGGAAACACTTAAAATACCTCTGCTGTATTTCAATTTTTCGTTTGACTACAGCACGCAGAATTTAATAACACGTACCTAAGAGTAGCGGTTGTGGGGCGCAAATTTCAGTTGGGCTGCATGTCTTGGAATTAATTGCTTCTGATTCTCCCTAAAATTGTTTCCTAATTGTTGAATGTAAAACTACGCACCGTTATGCCTGTTATATGGACGGCACCGGCTGCACAGTCGTGCTTTTCTATTGGGCGGCGTCGCCTCTTGCACACTGCGGTGACCTTGACGTGCGTTTCACCCACTCTCCCCTTCCGCCTTTTCACTATTGCTGAAACCTTTTTGAATGGACTTCATCTCTTCCGCTGCAGAACGTTTTACCGACTTTCGTCAGCGCGTCGCCTACACTGGGCGGGAGTTGCTGGAGCGCAGTCGTAAGTGGCGCAGCTTCTCTACCAAGCCTCCCTCCAATTGCGACGTCGTAGTCACTTTCGAACGAGGCACCAGTGAAAATCAGATAGATTGGATTTCTAATCGTCTTCAAGCACGAATTCCCGAGTTAATTTTCACCAAAACCTTTCACAACGGTACTCAACGTCTGGCCCTCTATTTAACCTGCTCATTCAATGAGTAAGATGTTGTGTTTCTTTTACTGGCTGAAGTCTAGTGAGTTGAAATATCTGTTCTCTTTGATCCTTCGTTAGCTATTTAAATTATTGTTACTCCACACCGCACACTGGAAATTTAGCTTTCCTTTGGCAACAATTCCACACGTTTCCTTTAGCGTGAAACCGATTTTTTAAACATGGTTTATTTTACGACTGCTATTTTATCGAAAACGTTTTATATGAAATGCATGATGTGGCTATTACTTCCATCCATCCACCAATGGATCTAGACTTAATCTATTTCATGCACCTTTCGGCGACCGAATGGTCAGAATTTTTAGGACTAGCTGTGAGGGCTTCTTGATATGTCACGGTCCCTACGATGGTGATTCACATGAACAAGTGGCACATTCGCGCTTATGGCGCCAGATAGCTATTGCGTAGACGCTTTAACTGCTGCCAATACCCTAGATAAACTGTGATTTACTGGATGCTTCGTGTGGACATGTTATTTTGATGAGATTTTGGCATTGCTCGTGGCACTATGGCAGAGACGTTTAGCTATTTGGTACTATAGGTGAGTGAACTTGATGAACGCATTTATGAATGCAATGTAAATGAGTAAATTTGTGCTCAACTCAGGTCACCAAGCTTAGTTAACTGCAAAACGCTAATTTTGTATTTACTTGTGTCATCAGTAAATAAGTCTGAAATCCCCAGTATGGAACTGAATATTTATTTTGGCCCATTTTCGGTTAACTGTGTGTTCTCTTGAAACAACAGCTTTTTATTAGATTGTTGAAGCGACAGGCATTGTTTGCTCGGTGACAAATGCATAAGGTCCCTTTTTATAGGACCATAAATTGAATGCCAAATGCTTCATTTGCGTCCATTCTACAGAACCGATTCGGTCAAAGAGGATTCTGACCTCCCATTGGCAATGATTTATTAATGGCTACCTAGTTTGGACTTTGCTAAAATAGATTATGACCATCTACATGTTTTCGGTTTGATTTGAAGTTGGCATTACCTTCACTGCAGTAGTGGAGTTTATGCATATCACTTCATTTTTTACCTATTTTGGACCAATTTTTTGCAATTCAGAACAGCGATGTGTTCGCTTTCTTTTAGCATCGACTTACTTGGCAAAGTTATTTCGTTACATTCATTTCCTTGTATTATTGTAACTTATTCTCCCATCGTGGCTGATGAATTTAGGCGGATAGATAGACTCCGGAGGATTGAGCTTTAGTTGTTAAGGTTAAAGAATCTATTTCGGGGCAGTTTTACGCCGTGACTTCGTTCCTTTCTCAGTCCGTGCTTGGGGTTCAATAATGCTTAAAGTTAGGAGGCTCTGTTCTTATTATTCGTATCGTGAGGTTGAGATTCTGCTATATAGTGGCTGCTGAAGTGGCCAAAGAAAATTCGAGCTGATTCTATTGACTTTATCAACAAAGTTGCTTAAGTCAACTGAAATAAAATCGTTTTGCCTTATAAGTCACTTAAAACGATACATAAGTGATATTTTACTTTCTATCTAACTTCATTGTCATTTTGCATTAATATTTTCATTGCCGACTGGTTTTCTCCATAAAACGGGAGTGATTCGGGTATTTTGGAAGTCATCGCAGTTTTTCCACAGTCTCTTGAAAGGCGCTCGAGAAGTCCGGCTGCGAAAGCGACTGACATCGGAATTTGGCGGTGAAATGCAGGAGTTTTGTATTGAGGACTGCGAAGAATTTGAGGGGTTCCTTGACCACGAGAAATTCTTCACCAGTAGTGAGCGCCAGACCATCGTGCGCTATTACCTCATGAGTCTTCGTGCCATGGCTGGGGATGCATGGGACGATACCATCAAATTTTCCCAGGGACAGGCCATAAGTGAGTTAATTTGGTAAGAAATGCATCGTGTTAGGGTTTTTTCTCCCAGAATGCGCGCTTTGTACTCGGAGAGCTTTTGATGGGCTATGTCGACCTATCCCAGGTCTTGCATTTTTATCCTTCAAAATGGTGTTTCTCTTAAGACCTTTTATTGTAAAATTTTGAAGTTTTTCGGGTTGATCAGGGATTGTTCAAAAACTACAAGG